ATCTTGACCATTACCCAGTGCCAGGTAACGACCGCATCCAGAAACGCCAGGGTGATACGTTGTCTATAGCAAGACCCACATCGTCTTTACAAAGACGTAACATCGAGTTTGCCACGCAACGTCGTCTTTAAAAAGACGCACCCGTGAATGCTCTTTTAGGAAACCACCACCGCTGAAGCGCAGTACCACCAGCACGACGAACTCTCAAAGACCGCACTGAACTTGTTCAGTCTTCTTCTCTCAGTAGAGTAGTCAGGAGCAGAACGATGTGATCGCTCAGCTCCGAAGCGAAAAGCTGAATATGCGGCAGCTGGATGCAATAATCGCATGCCAATGTGTATTGGCTCGTTTAGTTTACACTCAAAGTAGATTGGTCTCTCTAAGCGAGATCCCCAATTCGTTGGTCACCGACGTGACGTTGAGAGTGACCGACTGAAAGGGAACCAGATGTGAAATGCAGGTGGACGTGCTTCCTGGTGGAACTGCAAGAAAAGTAACAGCAGTTCTGTTGATATTATTGATGTTTTTTGTTAATCTCTCAGCATTTGATGATGTTCACCCACTATGTTTACCACATGCCACCCAGCAGGCAGTGCTGCTCATAGTGACAGTGCATGTGTCTGATTAAATATAAGCCTGGCACTCAATTAAGATTCTGAAGCTCACAAAATGTGATGTTCACACAAACAACTTCACTGTGAAAAAGACAGAGGAGCGCATGAAGGAGCAATGATGCTCTCGTCATGTCCAATCAGAAGGCTTTCGCGGGCAGATCACAGGGATAACAGGTCCAGCTGACATCGACGTCATACATTTCCTGTTTCTGTGACGCAAGAAGTCAGGGTTTAACGGGTTAACGGGGCCCCTAGCATTTAGCAACACAAAGCAATATATAGCCTATACCGCCCCGGTTTAATTCAAAAAGAATGATTTGAAATGTCAACGTCTTTCAATTTCAAAAAGTTTGGGGGGAAAAAATGTGGAATTTCCCTGCTCACCAAACTTACTCCCAAAACAAGTGTTTGTGGGGAGTGTGGGAAAGAAACAAAAGCCAATCAGCACTTTAGAAGGCAGTGAACCATCAAAAAGATTTTGAAACTCACATTTCAAGGGAAAAAAATTGACATACAGTTACTTTAAGATTAAACGACAGCATTGGGGCCAGCATTGGAAGAAAATGGGGCCAATTTTGGGATGATTTAAAGGCAGAAATGTGAAACTTAATATAGACCATCTAATATAAACTTAATATAGATCATTTACACTAATTCTTCTGTTAAAACTAATTGTGCATTATTTGAGATGTGAAGTTGTTCTCATTTTTTTGTAATATGTTCCAATGAAGCTGTGAAATCAGATATTAAATTTACACAGAAAAGTAAGTGATTTTATCACACTAAAATAATTTTAGCATGCATATTGTCTTGTGGCTATATTGTTAAAACGGTACTGGATTGTTCCCATTCACTTCCATTTTAAGTGCCACATTTTGTAAACTTTTTTTTTATTTATTTAATTCAATTTAATTTATTTATTTTTTCATAGTAATTATTCATTTGGTATATTGAGATATATTTTTATTCATGACATTTCCTGAGCCTGAACCCGTGTGCTCCTTCTCAGCTCATGACCTTTGTTAAAAAGTCCAGAAAAGTGTGATATCAATTAGTCCAGACAGCTTAGTTGGAGGTGAGCCCCATCCGAGACACTTAAAGGAGCAGACACTAGAAACAATGTAATCAGGGAATGAGAGGGACTTGACTTTTAATGTCTCCTTAATTCAATAAATCTATGAAGACCTGCATAATTAAGCATACGAATACCAGAACAAAGATCAATGCAAACATATGCCACAATTAAACAAGTTTTGTGTTTGCTTTATATGTTTAAATTTACATAAGCATTATAAAACTATTGCTTTTTTCTCTTCCACTAAATAGTTACAATATATGTATGCCATTAAAAGAGAATTCAGTTAACATCCACGAAAAAAAATCTATTTCGTTCTGAGGAAAGCTCCAGCATCATTTATCAGATGTCACTTATTTTCATCTAATGGAAATAAATTCATACATTTTAAAGTGCAGCTTCAGTGTCCAAAGCTATAGTGCTTACATATTTAGGGCCAGAAATGACCAATACATAGTTAAACAGTGCATTAAAATTAATGTATTGTTTATATGGCATATATGCATAGATTGCATCCTCTTTTGTTTTGCATGGCACAAGAAGAAGAGGGCTGTCTGCAAACATCCATCAGTAAAGAAAGCCCTAATGACTCAGCACAGAAAACAGAGACAGAGAGATAGAGAGAGAACAGAGGCATGATAGAAGCACACTTTAGCCATAACATCCCACTCTCTCTCATTATGCATCTTTAAAATGGCTTATAAGTCTGCATTTGTCTTTGTAATAAAATTGTGTAAGCAAGAGTAAACATTAGAGGAAATAAGACATTCGCTGCTCACCATCATGAAGGCAGGTGTATGTGTGTGTGTGTGTGTGTGTGTGTGTGTGTGTGTGTTTCCTTGCAGCAAGAGGTGAGTAATCACAACATACCTTGGCTCTGGACACGATCATCCTGCTCTGAAATCTTTAACCAGAACTGTCAATCACTCCATACACACATTCAGCTTCAGCTCCAGACACACGTCCTGAAAATACCAGGAAAACCGACCTCAGGAAATCTGATTACTGGTAAACAAAGTCATCGTGATTCTTTTTAAACATCTAATATCAAAGAAGTGGCCATAAATGACTACTTAACACCTAAGGCACCTTTTAAGCCCAGCCAACTATTAGGAAAATGGATGATAATGAGACAACCGAATGTACCGATGGTGAGAAAACAAAGCATATGGCTCTTTGAGAGTAATGTTTTTTTAGCCTTGTTTCTCTGGTGCTTTCTTTCACTCTCTTTGTGTCTTTCACTTTCTCTATCATACTACATGCTGCAATTTATAGAAATGTTGGGCCTAGATTCTTTAAAATATTTTAAAAAGAGAAGAAACTTCCATTGTATAATTTATGTCGCTCTTATGCAAAGGCAAATGATCTTAAATTGCTTTGATACTGGTGTTAAAATGACAGCTGTTTCCTGCCACAGTAAGAATCTGTCAGATATAATATGATCAAATGACTATGATGTTCATTGGAATGGGATCAGAAATTAAATTCGGGACAAAGTATGGTGTCAAAAAGGAAGTGTGTTCAAGCACCCTATTGTTAATGTGATAAGTGACACATTATGGTTGACTTTTCAGCAAAACCCTGTAAAATCCAAGAAGGCCTTTGTGCAACAGCAATCCAGCTGAGAAGAAACGCATGAGCTCTGTGGGAAGCTCCTCAACTGATGATAAAACTCCATGTCACTCAGAGCATTCATCTTGCTTCTTTGATTTGTGCTTTCTGAATGTCAAAGACTTCAGACAATGACAATTGTTATTATTTTGCAGCTTCTTTCATCATTCACCCACTTTCACCTTACTATTCTAAACAATAAAAAGGTAATATATCACTGATTTTTATGAATAAGCAGTAAAATGTAAATGTAATTCTCTCAGTGGTATTTGTTAATCTGGTACTATGCATACGTTCCCATAATTTTTTCATACTTTTGGGATATTAATACCAACAACAACATTTCCTTACGTAACAATTATCTTTAGTTTGTTTTTGTATTATTTTTGACCATGGTCATAATGGCTATCTTTAAAGAGCTACTGCCCCCGTGTGGTTAATAGCCCTTAACACAGCTCTGTGTAATCTGCTGTCTGCAAATATGGTTTTGCTGCTTTTAAAAACTGTGGGACATGTCAAAATTATTTATTGTGGTAATCAAATCAAATCAAATACATTTTCTTGTAGCTTGACAATTGAGAGTTAAAACTCTTTTGAGCGCAGTAGTGCATAAGATACACGTGAAAATGCACAGTATACGATTACAAGTGTGTGCACAAATTATACAAGGAAATTGTTACAATAAATTTTATAATACACTGTATAACTCTTGTGATGGTTGCTTGTGAAACCTAGTTGACATTTGAAGTCAGTGACTGAGGTGAAGAAGCCCACAGAAAATGCCAACACACCTCTGTCTGCTGCTGGTTGTTTGTTTAGGAGTATGATCACCATAAGCAGAGTGGTTCTGTAATCATTTTCCACAAAATGTTAGGGAATGTAGGTGAAAATTAACAAGTAGGTTATTTATACACAGTGTTGTAATAATTATTGTGACTAAATGAAATATAGTAAAAGCAACGAACCTGAGTTAGTCTGTTAGCTTTTGCATCTTGTTGTGGTAACTTTAAATATGGAATCATGAGCTAGTGACAGGAGAAAACCTGATGTAATCCCAAAAACGGAATGATAACATATATGTTTTACTAGTGTCAATAATGCAGGGAGAGAAGTTGAAACACAGAGCCGATTAAAACAGGAAGGGACACAAGGTCTTTGATTTCCCAAGGATTTAAAATAAAAGCACAGAATGAAGACTCACAATTGCTGATCAAATGAAGTTTGAATCAGACATGAGGGACTGTTTCTGTATTTTCCTCTGTATGCTTCATTTTACTGAAGGTAAGTCGAGATTCATAAATTATTTTATTGTGAAAGAATTCAGAGTGAAATTAACCAGCTATCAATAGTTGTGATTCTGTGGATGATTCAGTTGATTATTGTGATTGTTTACCATTTAAACAGAAGATTTCATAAAGCTATACAGCCTCCAGGAACCCGACCATAACATACAGTAAAACTCAAGTTGAGTCCCGTGCTCCATTATTAAAGATTATATGAACTAAAGGTTATATGAACATGTGACTTGTGAATATGATATGACTTTATTTCACTTTTATGCATGCTGAATTATTATTAAATGAAGATCTCAAGAGATCTTCGCTGCTGTTACTTCTTCCTGATGTTTATGATCATCTCTAACACTCACATTGATCCGTTCTGAAAGAAACTCTCTCTGTCTGCAGGATGTTATGTTTCAGGTCATAGAGAGCATAAAGAAGTAACAGGTTACACAGGTGGATCGGTCCTGCTGCCCTGCTCCTGTACTGACCCTCAGTCTACAGTCAAGACTTTCAGCTGGCTCTACCTTAAAGAAAACCTGTGGCCTGAAGTACTTAAAGATGACAAATACAAGGACAGACTGAAGCTGTTTAATGAAAGTTCTCCAGCGAATCTGACTCTGTTCATTTCTGACCTCAGAAAGAAGGATGAAGGGTTCTATAGGTGTAAGGCTTCACAAACTTATACAGACATTTACTTAAAAATTAAAGGTAAATATAAACATTTTGCCTGAAATACTTATCTCTCAAAATGCACTAGATGTTTGTTTTTCATAAATGTGCAGAGTAAAAGAAAATGTCAGTATAACAGCTGTGAATGTGTTGTCAGGGTGTGATCTGGATCAGAATAAACCGGCAGCTGAGGTGAAAGGACACTCAGGAGAGTCTGTGGTTCTGCCCTGCTCCTGTACTGAACTACGGGCTAAACCTGAACAACTTACATGGACATTTACTCCACTAAACAAAAACTCGGAAGAAATTTACCCACATGAACAGAGTGAGAGACACACAGGTCGAGTCAAACTGTTAAATGAAACCTCTCCAGGAAATCTCTCTCTACAGATATTGAAGTTGACCACAGAGGACCAGGGAGAATATCGCTGCTCTGTCTCGTCTCAACAACATGTCAACATCAGACTCCGTGTTCAAGGTAATTCTTAGATGTGTTGCAGTTGTGTCTTTGAACATATTCAGTATTTACATTGTTCTTGAAAAAAGATGTTTTCAAACACCAACTGAAGAAGATGACGTTCTAAGAAAATATTTATTGTTTATATAATTATATTGTTTATATAATTTTAGAACCACAAATTCACACAATGCATACAACAAATGAACCTATAAAACAAACAGAGGAACCTACAACTAAACAGTCAGAAGACAATTTAGAAAAACAACGTAAGTAGCAGCCTATTTTGCTTTAGAGATATTGTTTTAGAGGTATTTTTATATTGAATGTCTTTTTGTCTTTGTTCTTAAAGTGTCTATATTCTGTTTTTCCACAGTCTTAATTCTGCTGTCAGTGCTTCCAGTAGTTTTGTTACTGGCTGTACTGGCATTGATCTACTGGAAATGCAGAGGTACGCAAACACACAAATACAGTACATGTGATGGTAATATAACGGTACACACTGAAATGAGAATGACCTCTCAAACCCATGTTTTTACGATAAAGTTAAACCGCTCAAATTAATATTTCACAGCATTTTCACTGAGATGTTTTACTTTCAAGGAAGAAGAGACGTCCAAAAGACAACCAATGATGGACTAGTGCTGTGTAGTGAAAATGAGAAACAGGTAAGCACAAATACACTGAAACCCATTCAGAAAATTATTTAATATGTTAATGCTACACTTCCAGTGTGTGTGTCTACAAGCTGAATGAAATAAAGAGCAGCATGTATAAGTGTGTTCTGATCATGTCATCTCTTTCTTTAGGGTGATGTAAATCCTGAAAGTGTAACTCAAGGAGAAAACTTAAAACAGGATGAAAACGTGGTCAGTCAGAGTGTCTGTGTGCATAAATGCATATGTACTGTACATGCAGATATTTTTAACTAAATATGTCTTTTCCTGTCTCTCCAGGATGAGGTGACATATTCTTCTGTTGTCCATATTAAGACTGACACTAAACCAGCTCACAAACAGACTGTCATGGCAGAGCACTCTGAATACGCCAGCATCAAATGAAGTCAAAATATACCATTTTAGGGGCCAATTATGCAACAAAGCTGCAGGTTTTTCCTATTATTCTTCTTAATATTTTTTTTTTAAACATTTAGAACTTTGACTGTAATGTGAAATTTTACCAAATGTTTCATGCAGATTAGTTTGAGGGATAATTTACTCATTTAGGCTACTGTTATGGGATGGATGTGCTGTGTAGTTGCCCAGTCAGGGCTGTTAACTCACATGCATTCAAGTCAAGTCAAGTCACCTTTATTTATATAGCGCTTTTAACAATACAGATTGTGTCAAAGCAACTGAACAGCATTAATTAGGAAAATAGTGTGTCAATAATGCAAAATGACAATAGTAAACACTCATTTTTCAGTTAAAGACAGTTTATCATTGAATTCAGTGATGTCAACATCCAGCTCAGTTTAAATAGTATCTTTGCAATCAAGTCAACAGTATCGCTGGAAATGAAGTGTCCCCAACTAAGCAAGCCAGAGGCGACAGCGGCAAGGAACCAAAACTCCATCGGTGACAGAATGGAGAAAAAACCTTGGGAGAAACCAGGCTCAGTCAGGGGGCCAGTTCTCCTCTGACCAGACAAAACCAGCAGTTCAATTTCAGGCTTTCTGCATCAGAAACAGGTATCATGTTTCGTAGCTTGGCAATGTTTCTAAGATGGAAGTATGCTGTTTTTGTAACATTCACGCATTCAGCGTGACTCGTGAGACCTGCGCAGTTGACACAGTTCTAACGCTCTCAAGCCACACAATTTTCTCACACAGTGAAAACGCTCAAAGAAAAGCAAAAGCACCCTCAGTTGAAACTGTAATAAATGGATTTTGGTGACAAGAGGTATGGCAACCGCTCCAGTGCGTATTTCTGTTGTGCTCTGGGAAACAATAGATTACTGTTCGTAACCCCGGTTCTCTGAAACATCAAGTGGAGAGTAGGGATGGGCGTATCGATCCAAAGTATCGATACTCAAATAAAAAATATCGATACTAAGGTGTGTTTTATTTACCAGTGATTTTGTTACTTTAACAAAAAAAATATATATATAATAATGCGTACAATATGCATTGAATTGGACAAATAACGTCTCTAGGTTACGTATGTAACCATGGTTCCCCGAGGGAACGAGACGCTGCGTCGAAGTCGCT